AAGGTAAGTGCAATTTTATTAAACCTAGTAAATTGATATCCCGAATGCATTACGAATTTATTTGAACTTTCCTATATGAATTTTCAATTTTACCAATGAAAATCATTAGTTTTCTAATATAAAAGTGAATTTGCATGGAATTTGCATAGTTTATATTTTATTTTCAGCTCATCGGATACATTAAAGTCGGAAACAGTGCGTATACATTCCAATTAAATCATTTTCTATTTGGAATTTTAGTTCATTTTGATATTAATAGCAACGCTCATGGCAATTAGTTCCTTTGAAGAAAATCCCCATGATATACGGTAATGGTGACTTTTTTTAAAAATACGATTCAATAATAAAATATTTATTAAGTATTTATTAATAATGTTATTTTCCTTACTAAATAATATTAAAATTATGCATCAAATATTGGTAATTGAAAGAGACACTCGACAGAAATATTAAAAGTTTAAATTCTCAGAATGAAATCTGAAAATATGTATTTGCATTAAGCGTATCTTCTTTAAAGTACGCATCTTAAAAGATTAAAAATAATACGACTGGAGTTGTTTTTGTCATTATAGTAGCATTTTATAAAACAAGATAAATAAGCCGATAGATATCCAAAGGTAATGCTACTTTTTGTTCAGGTAAATATGTAAACATTGATTGTAATACTCATAAATTCTTATGCCGTTTGAGAAACTACTAGGAAGAAGGATAATAAATAAAAATATGCATAAGAGACCATTTTTGTAACGAATCTTCATAAAAAAAAAAAAATAAAAAAAAAATAATAATAATAATAATAATAATAATAATAAATAAATAAATAAAACGTTACGAATGTAGAAAGAAGCCAAAACCATTCAAAGCACCAGACTTCAATCACTAACTAACTGCCCAATGATGCGGGTAGCCATGAAATTTAATATGAAAGATAATCTCCGAGTTCGCCACGAAGTGAAGTTGGAAAGGTGACCACTTGAGTTAACGCGACAACAATTGCCAGCGCCATATACAACCATGTCACCAATTATGTTAAACAATGATTCATCTCCTTTCCTCTTATATTTAATGGTGCTAACAATATCGTTTGTAAAATGCTTCTGTAAAAGAGTGCATAATCGTCTCGGCTCACTGTATAATTTTAAATTGATTATTGTTGACGTTGCCCCTTGAAACCGATGTAGTCTCGTTTGGTATTAAAATATACTGAGCTTTTAATATAATGAAGCCCGACAACATATTGTTTGTCTGCTTTATATCGAACATTTTCTTCCTTTCATTATATCGCAACGTTGATTTTATTTAAAAATAAATAAATACGCATATTAATGCATATTGAAAATTGAAAAAAAGAAAAATAAAGTTTTTTGTACAATATAAAAACGGCTATTTAATTAATATGTTTTAAAATAAAATATTTAACAAGATTCTAGTACGAAGTATTATTTATTTCATTCAATTATCTATTGTTTATATTTGATTCCATTAAATACTCAACATAGCATTACAATAGAAATATTTATTATTTCAATTACAAATAATTCTAAAATATTGTATTTTAAATCGTTACACTCGTAATATTAATCTTCTATATGTAATTTCTATAGATAAGTAAAGTTAAAAGCTTACATGAACTAAGTAAGAAATAAAATAAAATAAATATTTTTCTCAATCAACTTATCGAAAACCCTAAAACTGTTTTCTTTTTGTTTTTTGTTTTTAAAGGAACCATAAAAATTCTACATTCTTGGATATACATATTTGTCAGAAATAAAATAAATTACTTATTGTTAAATTATGAAATTATCATCTAATTGTGGATACATTTTATAATTGAAATTGTAAATTAGCAGAATATAATTTTTATAAATAAAATAAATAATCAAACAAAAATAGTTCAGTATTATTTGCAATTCTTTGTAGTCGCTACAATTGACTGCAACCAAAAAGTATATTAGCAACAAAAATGTTTATATTAAAAATATTAAAATTTTATATAAAATCATTATTTAAACAACAAAATTTAGTTTCATTTTTAATTAAAAATTATTTACACTTGTTTTATTATTTTTAATAATATAGAATATGTAATTTAAATAGCATTTATAACTAGATTATTTATTCTATTATAAAGCCGGTAAATTTAGAAAAATTATTTTTGCAAAAAAGCATCGTAAAAATGCTGGGAATTTAGATTTTAAATCATTCAGAATTTATATTTAATTTCTTTGAAGATAATTAATATTTTGCCGATATAATATTCCAGTTCTATATATAAATATATATATATATATATATATATATATATATATATATAATTTGAAATTATACTAATTAATATATTAATTTTAATATAAGATGTACAGAAAACAATAATATGTTAAAGATTCATCAACTTATCTATCAATAACTTGCCGATATTATACATCAAAAGAAACGTGTATTGCGTATGTATGCTTAAATGAAAATATTCTTATCTTTGACAGTTTATCGAGAAATTATTTATTTATACACATACACTAAGTGTCTATTTGGCAAAATTTAAAAATATTTCACTTTAATATTGGAAAAAAATGTTATCAATTTAAGTATATTTAAAATTGAAAAACTTTGTATCTTTGCTACGAATATATGCATATATACATTATATATATATTTAAATTTTTCTCAAGCTTTATCACTTTAAAATAATATCAATGATAAGTTTTCCGTTTTCTGTTTTTATGATATATACTAATACTCACGAAATATTAGAAGCAGAAAAAAATAATATATGCTCTTCATTCTTCAAACATAATAGTGAGTTTTAACTAAATTGAAAGTCTGTAAAATTTTGTGTTCTTATTTATAGATAAAAATATGTAAGCATTATTTGAATTTCACACGAAGCTATAAGCTCATAAAATTTATCCAGGGTCATGAATAATCACAGTATTTTATATAGTTATGTTCATGTGCGTGTACATGCGTTATAAGGAGTAATTTACTTTAATAATTTAATATATGATGTGGAATCGTTTACATAAATCAAGAAATTAAAATCAGTTTTAATAAAATAATAATGTCTAGAGTGCGACTGTCAAACGAACAATCTTATTAAATTCTAAGTTATAGCCGGAACCATATAGATACTAATTAACATAAATTTAGCTTTAAAGAAGTATCTGTCGTTTATGAATGAGGTGATGGATACCTTAACGGACTGCTTTAAGTACATTTAAGTACTACGGAGTATTTTAATATAATTTTAATTGGTTATCAATCGTAATCCCGATTGTGTAGTCTTTAAAATTTCAGTCCATACAGCAAGAATTTGTCAACTACTAGAAAATATCGTTTGCGTGGATCGAGTTTAGTGAAAAAAAAAAAAAAAAAAAAAAAAAAAAAAAAAAAATTTATTTATAGCTTCTATCCCATTGTCCGCTATTGTAAAAAAATTACTTGCTCAATTAAAATATAGCCCAAGCATTTTGGCTGATGATAAATACTTAGAATTATCAAAAGCTGCTGCTACTACACAAACAAAATTTAAAGAATTCATGAAATAGTGCTAGACAACGACACGATGAATTTATTTATCTTATGCTGGATAGATAAAGTTATTAATCTTTTCTAATGAAAAGGAAATTAGTCTTACCAGATAAAAATCTTTTCTGGATAAGCTATCATATTTTATCAGTTTATTTTAATTGTAATCACTCTTGTTATATTGCATATTTGTGTAAAGTAAACCAATATTAATAACTCATATTAGCAATTTAATGTCAAGCTCTATGATTTATAATTTAAAAATTACTGTTTACTATCTGTTTATGAACATTTATTAGCCAACAAATGAAAGCAGTTTATTCAATAATATTTTGCTTTTATAAAAAAGAAAGAAAAGATATTTTTTTTATTGAGTTCATTAGGTTTAGAGAGAGAGAGAGAGAGAGAGAGAGAGAGAGAGAGAGAGAGTGTGTGTTAATGTGATTAATTAAATTAGCGTTTACTGATTATTTGTGTTGTATAAAATGAATTTATTAATATCTGTTGACAACTGCCTTATTTATAATATCAGTATCGTTCCTTCTCAAAATTCGATTTACTTTCGTAATATTTTCGTAAATTATATTAATTTTTTATTGTCCTTATTTTTACACATATTACTTTAATTTTTTTGCTTATGCTATTGCTTTGTGTCTTCGTAAACTTATATTTCCATATACAAGTTATAAATACACAAGTTAATTTGAAAATATAAATATAGCTTGTGAATATAATGATGCATGAAAGTTGAAGAAGAAAAAATCCGATTAAATTCGAGGAAGTTTATGCGGAGAGATAATGTGTGAAAAATATCTAAGCTTAATACAGATAATAATTCGTCCTTTCAAGTTTACATTATAATTTGACAGCAAACTCTTTTTAATTTTATATTTATTATTGCGATCATATGAAAATTCAACAATTTAATTGTCATAAATAATATAGTAATAATTAAATAACATTACAGTTACAGATTTCAGTTGCGTGCTTATTATACTTTATTAGATTATATATATTTAAAGTAATCAAGATTTTAGAAAAATTTATCAATATTTGATTTAAAGTACTTTCTTTTTGAAAAATTGTAATTTATTTCATAATTACTAATACAAATTTTTATTTAATAGATACTATTAGCGATGAGGTAATGTTTCATAAGCATGAGTTAATGTTAATTACTATTGTATACTCAGTCTGCATAATATTGAGTTCAGTTAATAAAAACTTATGTATTACTTGAAATACGTCACTTCGTTCCTTTGGTAACATGATCTTTAGTTATTGGTAGAAATAATATTTCTATTAAATATTTAAAATTAAAATTTTATTTTTAAATTTATCAATTTTAAAAAGGAATTTTTGTTGAAATTAATTGTATTAATAAATTATTGTTAAATTATATAAACGAATATTCTGAATTGTTTTACGAATAAAAAAATTATTTAAGCAATAAAGAATATTTTTACAATTACTCTCACACATTTATTCCTATACAAAAAATTGTATAAAATCATATTCTGAATTAATCAGCCACATTCATAGCTTGGTTAGATTGTATCTAAATTAAAAGTTTTATAATAAATTTACAACGATCTATAACTAAAGTACACCATAGAGTTTTAATGTACGATCCATGCTTGTTGATGCAATGTAATGAGCATTCTTGCCAAACCGCACTCCAGTGGCAAGAGCTGTATGATCGTTCAGTATCTTCAGTTCATTCCACATTTTACATAAATAAATTCTAAAATTTGATAATTATATATTTATTAATAAAAGAGGTAGAATGGTAATTAATTAAAAATATATTACGTTAAAGTGTTTAACTGACCTAACATCTGATCCAGCAACCGCTAGATAGGTACCACTTTGATCAAAGCAAATGTCTTTAACTTCATAGGATTCGTCTAATTGTAAAGTTTTAAAATTCTTTAATTTACGTAAATCCCAAAGTTTGACACAAGAATCTTCGGCAGCTGTCGCTAAATAATAACCGTTTTCCGAAAAGCTAATGGCTGTAATTGGTCCCGAGTGTCCAGGGAAGTTTGCCACATTAGATTGCTCTTTCAAATCCCAAATCTTAACTTGTGAGTCTGCTGTTCCAGTTCCAAAAATCAAGCCATCGGGGTGAAATTGAGCAGTTGTTAGAGGTTGACTGCCTAAGCCAGCAACCTAAATATTTGTTTATATTATTGATATATAATATATATTGATGCAAAAATAATATGATATAATAATAATAATAATAATAATAATCAATAATCGAAATTTCAAATAGAGTATAAGATCATTTTTTTGTACCTAGGTAACGATAGTTCCTATTTTTAATATTTTAATATTCTTAATATCATTGATTATGCTATTACTCTTACCTTAGTTAATAATCTACCAGTACGAATATCAGAGAATGCCCAATGCTGATCGAGAGATGAACTAAGTAAATAATCGCCAGTAGGATGTAACGATAGACCAGTTACAGGAGCATCATGAGCTCGTAACAAAAGAGTCGTTTGGCAAGTTCCTACATTCCATACTCGAATCGTTGTATCGGGTGATGTTGTCATTACTATATCTTCTTCTGGATGGTATATGACTCGTGTGACCTTGTAATGACGAGATTAAAGTTATAATCTTAAACACATTGCTAATAAATTTGAAATTTTTTAAACATTTTACCTTCTTTGTATGACCCTTTAAAACAGCAATAATTTGCTCAGTGTCTTTGTTGAATACTGTTGCATTTTTATCCGCTCCTCCTGTTAAAATTTTACTTGTATCACCAGCATGTATATCCAAGGCCAATATACCAGGAACACTTGCTGAATGAAGACCCTAGTTGAATAAATAAATAAATTCATTTATATATATATATATATATATATATATATATATATATATATATACATTTAATATTTATGAATTATTTCTTATGCATAGATTTCTGTTCTTACTGGATGAGACGCAAGTGTTTGGAACGATCGAATATTTTCTTGCGATAAGAGATCTTCTGGCACAGATCGACCTCGACGTTTTCGCTCTTGTGTGAGAACCGTTGCTTTCTCTTGTAATTTTTGAATAATATCTTCCGTGATTCCAGCTTGTTCGGAAGGTTGCATTGCAATACCACCAGCTTCGGCAGCGATTGCCTGTAAATAAAAACATACGATGTTTGGTTTAAATGCGATGATGTGTTAACAAGAAATTCTTTAATCAATTGTAAAAGATACATTTAACACTATTGTCACAATCTTTCTATTTCTATTTCCATTCATTTGATTACATTTATAATGCTTATATATTATTATTCGATAAATTATATTTCACATTTTAATAACATTGACAAAATGCAGTCTAAACTTTTATAAAAGAAGAGTGATAACGTAGAAACGACTGTTTTCTACTACTATAAAAAGAGTAGAATACCAGATTCTAATTTATTCTATTCTTAAATTTATAATAATTTGGTTCTCTCTAAATTTTGACATGATAAATCGTTGCTAATCCTGTAAGCCTTATGTTTTTGTTTCATATAAATTAAAATCAGTAAATGCTTACCGGTTGAGGAATGGTAGCCTGTGCGATGCCCGCTTGCGGCTTCAATGTAGCTAAAGCTTCTCGAGCCGCTGTTACTTCCTTTGTTAATCTGGCAATAACTCTGCATGCCGCGTCATGTTGATACAATGCATGTGAAAGTTCTTGACGTGCAGTTTGCAATTGCTGCCTCAATGTGAATGAATGTAACATTACCGCGTCCCATTCGTCTTGTAAAATTTTCAAAATAGCGGGTATGGATGTAGCGCTTGGCGGTTTGGGCTTGGCGATTGGTGTTGCTAGAATTTAGGAGTTGATCGTCTCGTTAATTTCTTATCGTAAAAGCCAATATATTGATTAATGTTTAAAAATATATATATTACTTTTGATGTCAATAAGTTGATCGATGCTTAACTCTTGGCCATTTATAGGATCTAAACCATTTTCACCTATATATTTTTCAATTAAACGCCTTTCAAAAACGGATCCTGATACTGGTGATATCACTGGATGCTCCGGCACATCGTTGGAAACTACAATAATACATAATTATTGATTAATTTATTAGTTTGTTTCGGCGTACGTACAGGTTTGAGGTTATCCGATACCGATCATAATACACAGATTTTGTACAAAAATTTAGATATTATTTAACATCTCACGGACTAGAAAATTACCTCCTCCAGGTCATGTAATGTGAAAATAATCATTGGATTTATAATAGTTGAGTAATATCGATAAAACTTACTTGCACAGGTGAGCGACATTCTTATAGTTGCTGTTGCACGCGCACTTTGTACGCTTGAAGCAACGTTGCCAACTCAACAACCAAATAATCGAGTGAACTTAATTTTTTGTATAGAACAGTTGGCCGAATGCTCGCTAGTTCGCCCTGTGCCAGTTCACGCATATTACTTAAGTTATTTTAATAACCCAGCATTATAATTAAATAAGCAAACCCAATTGCGTCATGTCATTGATCTTCTCGGACCATGTGCATCATTTTGTCTTATCTCCCAGACTCCAATAAGCCGTGATAATACTTATTATTGTTTTGAATATTGTTGACGCTCTTGAGTAAAATGCCCCTATGTTTGAAATTTGAAACTAGAACGTGGAAGCGAGCTTATTTCACTTTTGCATTTGTAAAATCACAACTATAAAATGCATTTTTAAGCTTGAGACTTAGAGGAGTCGTTAATTAACGTAACTGGACGAAAGCAGTAGTTTCCTTACTTTGTTCGATTACTTAATGAAAGAAATTTGTCAAGGCGTTAAGAAATGCTTGGGTAATATTATCAAATAGGCAAGTGACAGCATAGTGCCGCGGTTAGACGGACTACTACTGCATTTCAACTATTCGCCGACAATTTCCTAAAATTAAATGACACGTAATTTATCGGCTACTAGTCGCAATATTATTTTATAGCTGTAGGGAGTTCTTGAATTCTTAAAATATAATCGAATCGTTTCTCAAAATTAAATGCCCAAGCATACGCAATTTAAGCTCGTAAATCTCTAGTAAATATGTTTATTAATAAATGAGATTGTAAATTTACGCGATGAAAAAAGGAAGGCATTCGAGTTGCAATTTGCGAAATGTAAATATACTGGGAAGAATTATATTGAAATAAAATCTATTGGATAGTCTTCCTTACTAATTGGTTTAGTTGGCGAGTAAAATCAATATGTATTAAAAGATATGATAGACAGCAATAGATTTTTTTTTTTGTCCAGGTCTCTGTAAAATTGTAATACTCAAAAGCTAGTATTATCATTATTTCTTTTCATTTTCCTTCCCATCTGTTGCTCTCTATCATTAATTCTCAGTCGTTACATATAATCGTTTGTTTATGCTCTTGCGAATCGACAGTTTCCCATTTATGTTCAGTATTTGTGAGAGTATGCGTGATATTTTTAAGATTTCTAAATATACATTTAATCGAGTAAGGATTTAATAGGATCAGCTTTTAATTTGAATTACACGTGTGCAAAGACTGAAATTATAGATTTAAATACTTTTAAGCGCTAGTCGTAAATATAAAGCGAGCGCAATTTTATGATTAAGAAGAATTTGTTTGAAAATATGGCAGATTTTTCTTAAACTACGTACTTTTAATAACACATGAGAATGCGAATCTGTAAAATGAGACAACGTGAGCTTATTTTGAGATATTAATGCGGATATAGTGAGCTGTAATGATGTTAAGAAACGATATTAAAATATCTTGGGTATTTATTAGCAAATTTTGCCTCTACATAATGAGACTTTCGACAATTTATCGATAAAAGACGGTTTAGAGTTTCAAGAATAATTAAAATTGTATGAGAGCATTGCAAGTCGAAACAAAAATCTATTCTTTTTAAAGAATACTCGTGTAATAATAATAATAATAATAATAATAATAATAATAATAATAACCACTCGAACGATTCGAAAATGCATGTGATTTTGCATTTGAAGATTAGTTTGAAGATGAATTCGACTATAAATCCGACTAAGAAAAGTAATAATGAGGCTAGAATAGAAAGTACGATTAATTTGTCTCTACGTTATTCATAATGCGAATTAAAAAATGTTTAAGACGTTTAAGACAGTATTAACATTTATGAAATATATTAATTTCATATAATTTGCCTTAAAAGTGTTTGTATTTATAAATCTGTATATTCTTATTATTATATTCTTATCATTATTAGAATGTTATATTTCACAATTTGTTATCTTAATCTCAATTAATTATTATTAGATTGTTCATTGTCAATAAGTTTATAACGAATCAATATTAAATTCGTTTATAATTAGAAGTGAATGGAAATTTTGATAATGTTTAATGGTCATGAAGAAAGGACAATTAAATTTGCAAATTTTGTATGAATTTTTATGGAAAGAGAATGTGGTTCATTTTCTTATTGTAATTTGTTTATTCTTTTGTTTTTTTCTCATTTTAACGAGAGGGTTCGTTAATTTGTTACGACGTTAAAAAAGTAATTTTGTAAAATGTTTTTTTTTAAGGTTTCGTGTTGTTATGTAATTCGTAACGTATTAATACTGCGAATCACGATTAATAATAATTAATAATTAATAATTAATAATAATAATAATAATAATAATAATAATAATAATAATAATAATAATAATAATAATAACAATAATAATAATAGGGACGTTAATGATGCTGATGACGATATTATAAGCAAAAATAAAATAGACAAATCAATGAAATTATCGTTACATGGGAATCATAAAAGGTTCGAACCCGATAGTTCAAATAGAAATTCCAAAGCAAAATTAATAGAAAATTAATATAGCAAACTAATAAGACGATACTTGGAATAAATGAGAAAAAAGAAGTCGTGATATTGCAATGATAAATGCTAAGTGATATTGTGCACAAACGCACATTTATAAATTTTTTAAAGGCAATGCCGCCGTAAATGAGATGAGCGCGGCAAGAAGACACTTTGATTTATAAAAAATTGCAATGGCAACTACAGGCCATTCATATCACAAGGCCTATTTATTGCACACGCTAAAAATAAAAACCTTAAAAGTCGGATGTAATCCGTACGTAAAAGAGTCGAGGAGAATAACAATGACAATGACAATGACAATGACAATGACGACGACGATGACTGCAACGATAATGACAGTGATAATGATAATGATATTGATTATGATAATGATAATGATAATGATATTGACAATGACAATGATAATAAAGATGATGATGAGGTGCCGTAGTTAAACGATGCGCAATAAATGTGTCTAATCTAATCTATCGAGCACCTATTGGTACAACCTATAGTCATAGCCACAGGAATAGGCACACACACACACACAGGCACGGGACGGAGCTGGGGATTAATGATAATATAGAGATAACTGAGAGAGAGAGAGAGAGAGAGAGAGAGAGAGAGTAAAAGTAAAAGGCGCGACGTGGCTGGTCGGTCGCGCGAATCGTTCGAGGAGGAGAAAGCAGCAGACGCGCAGTCTCCCGCCATCAACCCGCGAGGTTATTACGGCACAACCTTCGGCAGATACTTGTCTCCGCGTAGTGTGATTGATGCTAAGAGCGAAAGGTAACGGGACGTCGACGACGACGACGACGACGACAAAGGCGAGTGGGAGTGTGAGCGGGCCCGGCCCCCGGAATCAGCGGTCTACTATGCACCGCGATGCGACCGGGGACTGTCGAGGCTGCGCCTAAGAGCTTGAGCGACCGGATAATCCGTGGTCGTCGGCATCGTCGTTGTTGTCGTCGTCGTCGCCGTCGTCGTCGTCGTCGTTGTCGTTGAGGTCGGTTTGTCGCTAAGCTCATCGCGCTCGCGTCACTCGCCCCACGCTAAATCACGCTAAATCGGCCGGTGGGCGGTGCTCTGGCGGTGGTAAGGCGGTGGTGAGGCAGCATTGAGGCGGCGTTGAGGCGCGCAGGGGCAGGAACCGACGTTCGCTCTTAACTCTGGCTCGGCTTTCCGCATCGTGCAAAGAGGAGGCGGCGGAGCCGAGGGCGACCGCGATGGTTGCCATCGAGGAGATCAAGAGGACGTATCCCCTGCACTGGCTCGTCTGGAACAACAGCCACGCCGAGCTCGACAAGGAGCTCGCTGCTAATCAGGTCAGAGACTGTCTGCCCTGCCCATCAGGCCCCTAATTACCTAAGCCGAAATCTAAATTCTCTCCTATTCGACCAGGTTATCGCGCTACTCGTGGTTCGCCCTTTACGAGCTACTTAGTATCAATTTCCTCGTTATCGCGCTAATGCACGAGGAGGCGGTAAACGTGCTTTTAACGTATTGCTCTCGGTAGCAGGAGGGCCGATGCCTCTTCTGTTTATGTTTCAATGTCACGCGAGTGACGGGCATTGGTTTGCTTGTTTGTTCTCGGCTCGTTGTTGCATGTATCATTGATCCTATGGATTCCTTGCGCCTTTAATCAAAAGTTATATCTCGATGTGGGATTTTGGGATTATAGCGGCAAAAGCCAGTTTTTATGAAGCCTCGCGACGAAAGAAGCCACATAAGCTTATATATCATAATTATATTATGACTTGTACGCGGTTTAATGGCTCGTGTCGCGTTTCCCGCTTACTTTATTATTTATTGAGATAGAATAATCCTAGATGACGTGTGACCTTTATGCTTTTGTATTTGGCTTGCAGCATGATATTGAGCTGCACGACAATAGGGGCAGAACACCATTGATGCTGGCTGTGACGTTGGGTCACATAGATTCTGCCATAATTTTACTTCAACACGAGGCTAACGTTAATACAGAAAATAAGCAAGGATGGAACGGTAAGTCCAGTCCGTGTAAATTATGCTTAGCGACATTTTCTGATTTGTTAAGTGAGTTTGATTAGTCTTCAATAGTTAGAAGAGTGTAATGTATTTTGCTATTTAGTTGTACAAGAGGCCGTTGGTACTGGAAATCCAGAGTTGCTACAGATGGTATTGGCGAGACGGGACTACCAGAGGTATTGCAATCGAGTGGCGGGCATTCCTTAGC